TTTGTGGGGTGTGGAGGTTTGGGTTTGTGGGGTGTTGGAGGTGGGGGTTTGTGGGGTGTGGAGGTTGGGGGTTTGTGGGGTGTGGAGGTGGGGGTTTGTGGGGTGTGGAGGTGGGGGTTTGTGGGGTGTGGAGGCAGGGGGTTGTGGGGTGTGGAAAGCAGGGGTTTGTGGGGTGTGGAGGCAGGGGGTTGTGGGTGTGGAAGCAGGGGTTTGTGGAGGTGGGGGTTTGTGGGGTGTGGAGGCAGGGGTTTGTGGGGTGTGGAGGGGGTTGTTGGATGTGGAGGAGGGGAGTTTGTGTGATGTGGAGGTGGGGGTTTGTGGGGTGTGGAGGCAGGGGGTTGGTGGGGTGTGCATGTGGGGAGTTGTGGGGTGTGCATGTGGGGAGTTGTGGGGTGTGAGACGGGTTTTTGTGGGGTGTGGAGGGGGGGTTGTGGGATGTGGAGGCGGGGGTTGTGGGTGTGGAGGCAGGGGGGTTTGTGGTGTGTGTAGGCGGGGGGGGGGTTGTGGGGCGAAACGACGACGTTTCGGTCCGTCTTGGACCATTGACAGAGTCACATTAACGAAAAGGAGAGGAGGGAGTATATATATGCCAGCAGACAGGGACGGGACAGGAGGCAGTAGTGGAGGTGGTAGTAGTAGTGGAGTCAGTCGAATACAGTGGACCCTCAACTAACGCTATTAATCCGTTCCTGAGAGCTCATCGTTAGTCAAGTTAATTTTTCCTATAAGAAATAATGGAAATCAAATTAATCCGTGCAAGACACCCAAAAGTATTGAAAAAAACACTTGCTCAGGTTTCAGTCCTTCACTGTCTATGTACTCCTTGAATTTCTGCACATATTTTTCAGCTGCTTTTTGGTCCAAACTGGCAGCCTCACCATGCCTTATCACACTATGTATGCCACTACGATTCTTAAATCTCTCAATCCAACCTTTTCTGGCCTTAAATTCACTCACATCACTAGTTGCTGGCATTTTTCTAATTAAATTGTCATGCAACTTCCTAGCCTTTTCACATATGATCGCTTGAGAGATGCTATTTCCTGCTATCTGTTTTTCGTTTATCCATACCAATAACAGTCTCTCAACATCTTCTATCACTTGCGATCTCAGTTTCGAAAACATAGTTGCACCTTTGGCAAGAACAGCTTCCTTGATTGCCGTTTTCTTGGCCACAATAGTAGCGATGGTTGATTGGGGTTTTGTGTACAGCCTGGCCAGCTCGGAGACATGCACTCCACTTTCATACTTAGCAATGATCTCTTTCTTCATATCCATAGTAATTCTCACCCTTTTTGCTGTAGGGTTGGCACTAGAAGCTTTCTTGGGGCCCATGGTGACTTATTTTGCAGGTGCAATCACTAAAAAGGCTGTGATAATATGAAATGTTCTGATTGTATGCTTGGAAGCGACCGCGGTGGCTGGCTGGCTTGTAAACACTGGCCAGAAGTGGACGCGTCTCAGACAGAAGGAATAGTGTTGGTCAATTTTTTTTAGCGCTAATCGAGGCAAAAATTTTGCGATAAAATGTATCGCTAGTCAGATTTATCGTTAATCGATGCCATCGCTAGTCGAGGGTCCACTGTACTAGGAAAGAGGAGCACTGCAAGGGATCTAGGTGCCACGGAGGGTAGGAGCAAGAACACAGAGGGGGGGGGGATAATGAAGGAACAAATACCCAAGGCAGAAGAAAGAAAACCCAAAGGAGAAAGAGGAAAAAGGAAAGGGGAAGAGGAAGAAGAAGCAAAATGAATCAGGTTAGGACACTGGTGTTCTGAAGTTTGGAGTATTTTACAACGTAATGGGAGAGGACTAAGATTCACACAAGGATAGTTGAGTATTAGGGAGGATTCAACCAGACGGCGACTGTGAAAGTTGGACGTAGGGAAGACAGTTTTAGCAGAAGACCATCCAATAGGATGACTGTGATCTCTGACATGACAGAAAAGAGCATTGTTAGTGTCGGCAAGCATAAAACTACTTTTGTGCTCCCTAAGTCTGTCAGAAAGAATTCAGCCAGTTTCTCCAAAGTACTGAAGAGGACAGGAGGAAAAAGACAAAGTAGATACCAGGAGCACCTATACATGGAGGAGAGGTATGAACTAGATTAGTGCGAAGAGTGCTAGTCTGGCGGAAAGTAAGTTTGATGTCAAGGGAATGGAGAGAATTGTTGAGATTAGAAAGACAGGAAATGTAGGAAAGGCAGAGGACAGAAGAGTTCCCAGGAGTAGAGAGTTTGGGAGAGAAGAAATTCCGTTTAGCACGTGAAAAGGTCGAGTCTGTGAAATGGGAAGGGTAGCCAAGATGGGAAAATGTGCTTACCTTGTGTCTTAGGAAAGTAAGCAATGCTTACCTTGTGTCTCAGGAAAGTAAGCAATGCTTATCTTGTGTCTCAGGAAAGTAAGCAATGCTTACCTTGTGTCTCAGGAAAGTAAGCAATGCTTACCTTGTGTCTCAGGAAAGTAAGCAATGCTTACCTTGTGTCTCAGGAAAGTAAGCAATGCTTACCTTGTGTCTCAGGAAAGTAAGCAATGCTTACCTTGTGTCTCAGGAAAGTAAGCAATGCTTACCTTGTGTCTCAGGAAAGTAAGCAATGCTTACCTTGTGTCTCAGGAAAGTAAGCAATGCTTACCTTGTGTCTCAGGAAAGTAAGCAATGCTTACCTTGTGTCTCAGGAAAGTAAGCAATGCTTACCTTGTGTCTCAGGAAAGTAAGCAATGCTTACCTTGTGTCTCAGGAAAGTAAGCAATGCTTACCTTGTGTCTCAGGAAAGTAAGCAATGCTTACCTTGTGTCTCAGGAAAGTAAGCAATGCTTACCTTGTGTCTCAGGAAAGTAAGCAATGCTTACCTTGTGTCTCAGGAAAGTAAGCAATGCTTACCTTGTGTCTCAGGAAAGTAAGCAATGCTTACCTTGTGTCTCAGGAAAGTAAGCAATGCTTACCTTGTGTCTCAGGAAAGTAAGCAATGCTTACCTTGTGTCTCAGGAAAGTAAGCAATGCTTACCTTGTGTCTCAGGAAAGTAAGCAATGCTTACCTTGTGTCTCAGGAAAGTAAGCAATGCTTACCTTGTGTCTCAGGAAAGTAAGCAATGTTACCTTGTGTCTCAAGAAAGTAAGCAATGCTTACTTGTGTCTCAGGAAGTAAGCATGCTTACCTGTGTCTCAGGAAAGTAAGCAATGCTTACCTTGTGTCTCAGGAAAGTAAGAAAATGCTACCTTGTGTCTCAGGAAAGTAAGCAATGCTTACCTTGTGTCCAGGAAAGTAAGCAATGCTTACCTTGTGTCTCAGGAAAGTAAGCAATGCTTACCTTGTGTCTCAGGAAAGTAAGCATGCTTACCTTGTGTCTCAGGAAAGTAAGCAATGCTTACCTTGGTCTCAGGAAAGTAAGCAATGCTTACCTGTGTCTCAGGAAAGTAAGCAATGCTTACCTGTGACTCAGGAAAGTAAGCAATGCTTACCTTGTGTCTCAGGAAAGTAAGCAATGCTTACCTTGTGTCTCAGGAAAGTGAGCAATGCTTACCTTGTGTCTCAGGAAAGTAGCAATGCTTACCTTGTGTCTCAGGAAAGTAAGCAATGCTTACCTTGTGTCTCAGAAAGTGAGCATGCTTACCTTGTGTCTCAGGAAAGAAGCAATGCTTACCTTGTGTCTCAGGAAAGTGAGCAATGCTTCCCTTGTGTCTCAGGAAAGTGAGCAATGCTTACCTTGTGTTCAGGAAAGTGAGCAATGCTTACCTTGTGTCTCAGGAAAGTGAGCAATGCTTACCTTGTGTCTCAGGAAAGTAAGCAATGCTTACTTGTGTCTCAGGAAAGTGAGCAATGCTTACTTGTGTCTCAGGAAAGTAAGAAATTTGCTTACCTTGTGTCTCAGGAAAGTAAGCAATGCTTACCTTGTGTCTCAGGAAAGTAAGCAATGCTTACCTTGTGTCTCAGGAAAGTGAGCATGCTTACCTTGGTCTCAGGAAAGTAAGCAATGCTTACCTTGTGTCTCAGGAAAGATGAGCAATGTTACCTTGTGTCCAGGAAAGTAAGCAATGCTACTTGTGTCTCAGGAAAGTAAGCAATGCTTACCTTGTGTCTCAGGAAAGTGAGCAATGCTTACCTTGTGTCTCAGGAAAGTAAGCAATGCTTACCTTGTGTCTCAGGAAAGTGAGCAATGCTTACCTTGTGTCTCAGGAAAGTAAGCAATGCTTACCTTGTGTCTCAGGAAAGTGAGCAATGCTTACCTTGTGTCTCAGGAAAGTAAGCAATGCTTACCTTGTGTCTCAGAAACAACATGTAGGCCACATCCCATGCACATTATATCTCATGGGTGGTACAGTTGTAGCTTTCAGTTTCCTGTAAAAAAATACAAACCGTAATGGATATGTGGGTCATTGGGCCATCAGTAGCAACAGCCTGGTTGACCAGGCAAGCACCAGACGAGCCTGGCCCATGGCTGGGCTCTAGGAGTAGAAAAACTCTTGAAACTCGTCAAAGGTATGTCACTGGTTTGTAATATAAATACCTTCCATTGGCTTTACTTTGTTTTTAAGCTAAACTTATTTTTCAGTTGTAATAAATGTCACTTTGATCAACTGATTTTTTATTAATGACAACATATCACCCACACAGTGGATACCTGTATTAATGATCATTTTGCTCACACTGGGGATTTATGTGAAGCCTCTGTGTGGGTGTAATATTGATGCTAATAATGGTATCCATTGCATCTCATTTATTCTGCCTTGTCGGTGTTTACATACCAGACAAGCCTAGCCTAGGGCTGGCTGCTGGAGTAGAAGAGCTCTCAAAACCCATGAAAGGTAAAGGTATATTAAAGGTTTACCTAGCCCAGGGTCAGGCTGCACAAGCAAGACAACTCAGCCTATTGAAGGTATGTAGGTACCATTATGATGGCTATCTATTATTCAGTTATTTGGTGACTGAAACACTTTTGCATCACTACGTATATAGTACTCTATATGCCCCCAAAAATAACTAACTTATTTTTTATTTGCAGTGTCAAAATGGTGGATCAGCAGCAATTTTGTCTGCGGTGGAATAACCATGGGTCAACTCTGGTCGCTGTTTTTGATAACCTATTGGCCAGCGAGTCTCTGGTGGACGTCACACTCTTCGCAGAGGGCCAGCTGCTCAAAGCACACAAAGTTGTTTTATCAGCGTGTTCGCCATATTTCCAGGTAATTCATGCGATTTTCTTAACCATAATTATCTTCATTGAACTATTATGACGTTATAATCAAGGCTTATATAATATACTGTATAAGGTGCTTCTTGATTTACAATGGGGTTATGTTCCGATGAACCCATCGTAAGTTGAAAAACTGTAAGTTGAATATGATATGATAAATAAGTAAATAAATAACAATTGTCACTGAATAAATAAAGCAAATGATTACTGTACTAAATACCAGTATTGAAAAGTAAATAAATGAATACAAGTTTATCTTATCAATAAATGTACATCACT